GGGGGAGGAAAACGCTGATTCCCAGAATCTTTCAGCGCTCATCATATGGTCTTATAATGTCTTATATGGTCTTGTGATATCTAGATATAGGTCTAGTCTACCCATGTCGCCTCCCCCACCTCCCCCCCAATCTTCTTCAAGCATGGTCTCCTTTTAGAGCTAGTGCTGACATTGCCATTTTGTAGCGCTAGTTCTCCAAGTATTCTCTGTTGGCCATTTTGTAGTGGTAGTAGGATGTGGTAGGTGCCTTTTCCGATTTTTGATTTTTTTGATGCATATAGGATCATATAGGACTTAAATATATTTAAAAATTATTTAAGCATATTTGAGGTTCTGGGCAGCCCACCCATGTTTCACCTCCCCCCCAATCTTCTTCAAGCATAGGGCTGACATTGTCAATTTGTAGTGCTGGTTCTGCTAGTTTACCCAGATTGCCATTTTGTAGTGGCTATATACATATACAATCATATACAACTTTAGTAGTCTTTCCACTTCCAAATTTGGGTGAACTTTTGACAAGTGAGGCTTATTGGGAAAAAACAGATGATACAGCGCTTGAACTGTGAATTGGGAGTGGCCATGGTAGATGTGCCCACAGATGGCAATTGCTTGCCTTGGTCCTTGCTCTTCCTGTCTGGAGGCCGTGACGTGCTATCAGAAGATCAGTACAGACAGAAGAAAACCTTTAACACTCAGATGCTGATGCGCAGGTCATTGAAGGCCTCATGGGAATCACTTGCGGCAGAACCAATGTGGCAGAAATTGTTTCGTCTTTTCCATGGTTCAGAACCAGGTTCATGCACTCCAACTGGGCGCCGAAAGAAGGCTAAAGCGGACAAGGTTGACGATGCTGATATGGGTTGCGTTGATCTTGTCACTCCTCCATCACCCAAGAACGTCACTCCACCCAGACCACAGAACCAGGGCAAGAAGCGGTCAGGTGCCTGGCGAGCAGAGGATCAGAGAGGAGTGCCTTTGTGCAATCCAAAGACTGCATCACCCACACTGAAATCCAAAGAGCAGCAGCAAACAGAACGTGTGCTAGAGCCTCCAGTCCCAGATCTTGCAGAGCATTTGGAGAAGCTTCGGCAAGTTGTGCCGAAGGATGAGATTCCTGCTGTTGAAGACATCGCTTGGGAAATGCCAAACGATGAGGATGTTGATGCCTCCAGGCACAAGAACAAGAAAGCTCGGCATCAGCGAACATGCAAGATTAAAGAGGCTACTGAAAACAGTCGTTTGGAAGGCATCGTGAAGAGTCTCCTGGCCGAGCATGGGGCCACTTATGGATTGTTCCAGTCGATCCACTGCAAGTGTGGTGTGATCAGAAAAGCCGGCGTTTGTAGCCAAGGTGGATTTGTGAACCTTCAGATTCGTTTGAGGCAGAATCAAGAGACCACATGTGCTGGATGCTTGGAGTTCATGCGGGTCACGAAAATATCTTCGGATTTGGTGAGTAGCACTATCTCATCTGCAGGGTCACATGCTCCAAAAAGGGTGGCTGAAGCTGAAAAAGAAGAAGAAGATGATAGTGAGAGTGCAAACCCAGAGAAAATCCTCGAAAGATGCATTTCGTTTGTCGAGACGTATGAGCCTGACATCGAGCTTCTGATTGAAGGAAATGATGCAGAACCTTTCCTTCGTTATAGATGCCGAATTTGCGCAACAAAGGCGCAGCCAAAGGGGAGGATCAACATTCTGGGAAAGCCGCACTATAAATCAGTCGTGCATTTTCTGACCCAACATCTCAGTTGCTTTACTCACATGTGCAGAAAACGGCAGAAAGACTTGGAATCAATGCCTCCTGAGCCAGCGTCAAAGAGAGTGCCGTGCTCGGGTTTCTTCGTCTTTGCATTGAACATCAGTTTTGATAGTCTTAGTATGTCTTAGTCTTAGTTTGTTTATATGTTTTTGGCATTTTTTGGATTTTTTTGGTTTCATTGTTTGTTTGTTTTCAATTTTAATGTTTTCCTTATTCTCATTTGTTCCAAGGATATTGGATGTCCAACAACTCTCCTGGCACACTCTACCTGTACAAGGAGGAATTCCATTTGTATGCCACGCACTCTCCGCTTACGCGTGCTCAACACAAGTATACTCACGACGCAAACACCTCTGAATGGAACATTCGTAGTTCAAAGTGCTTGCAAGAAGTAGACTTTGAGGAGGGTGTGGCTCGCCCGTGCTGTTCGGAGTGCGCATCGCTTGGCATGCCAACTTCGATTCAGCGGCAGGTTGTGAGGTTTGTCGCAAAGTACAACGCAGCATGCCTCCTGAGCGCACGTTTGTTTGGGAATGCAGAGGACGTCAAGAATCTCCTTGAGAAAGTGAACCAGAGTTACTTTGGACAAAACAATTCTACATTCTGGAAATCCATCACGAACCTTTCCTGCCATGCCTTGCAAAATTGGGTACGAAAGTCATTCCACATGATGCCAGATGACACTTGCACGGACGCATTGCATCGGTTTAGGGCAACAGTGGTAGTGCCTTGCATGAAAGTGAATGTTGCTGCAATACCAGATGGTGTTGCAAAGCTTTCGGCACAGTTTGTCAACGCAATTGAATCCAAGACACTCGATGAGATGGATTCTGTCCGAGTGCTGATAGCTGAAGCCTCAGTGTCAGGAAAACTAGATCAGCATCCATTTCTGCAAGGATTGATCCTGCAGTGCACGCGGAAGATTGACAAAGACAGCAGAGGTGTGGGCATGGAAGGCCGGAAGAAATCATGTAGTGAATCCGAACACAGGTTGATTGAGAATGCGGCCTTTTCCTTTGCGATGTCTGGTCATAACCATGAACTTGCAGTGCAGCTTGGCCAGAATTTGCGGCCTCCAAAGATGTTTGCTGATGACACGCCCAAATTTGGTTTGCCCAACCCAGTTCTGGCGTTGAAGAAGGGTAATGAAGAACAGCTTCGTGAGAATTTGGAGTTGATCGACCAAAAGTTTGCCAGATCATCAGAGATGTCAACTCGTCGTTGCATCTTGGCCCTTGACCATACATATTTGTCAAGGGGCTTGCAGCAGACCAAGGTCAAGAATGAAGCAGGATTAGTGGGTTCACCATGGAGCCCCTTGCAGGAATCCCGTGAGTTCATGCCATTCGCCAAGTTGCCACCGCAAGCCTCGAGATCAGATAAGGCTCCACTGATGTTGGAGTGCTTGATATGGAACCCATGTGGTGTCAAACAGAGTTGCTTTTCTGTGGCCAGCATGCCGATGAGCCTTTCTGCGCACCAAGTTGAGAAGAATGCCAGGGATCACGGGAAGAGAGTGCCTGGGCAAGATTGAAAGATACATGTGCTGGTTTCTACAGAATCAAGAAACATCCCCAGTCCAACATTTCACCCTACAAAATCAGAAACATAGACAGTGCTTTATTGTTTTCAAGCCATCTTCAATCCTGGTAGATTTTAAATGATTTTAATCTGTTTTAAATTATTTTAATATATTTTACAGTTTTACATTTTGTAGAGAGATTTTCTTGGCAGTTTGCCATGTAGGCATTTTGTAGGTGTTTGTAGTGGGTATGTATCAAAAAATTCGTGTATCGGATTGCTTGCGCCAGGAAATGCTCTATGTGGTCGCAACCCTCATGATGGATGCTCATTGGTTGGTCAAGGGCATTGTGATGGACGCTCACGCGTCCCATGCTTGGATTAAAGAGGCTTTGTTTGGGGAGTTCCGTGGAATCAGCAAGCAGTTCCTTGAGGAGGTTCCGTGGTTCCAGGATCTGGAGTACAAACCGCTGCCACAGCATGTGCTACCTCACTTGCACATGAAGCTTTGTTCGCGCAAAGGCGAGTCAGTGTGGATGATATGCGGACCTCTCCACGCGTTCAAGAATTGCGGAGGTCAATTGAACAGTCCATTGAGAACATTGACGCTGGGAAGGTACTTCACAGACTCTAGTGGGGCCCGAACGAATGGGCTCCCCCCCTCAGCATACACAAGGAGTGAGGCTATGAGCGATGCGTTACACTGTATGCTGTTCAACCCAGTCTTCCTCATTCAAGAATCCGTTCCGAGTTTAAATCAAGCATTGTTTTGTTTTATATATTTTTTGATATATTTTGATATACCCCTACCTGTATCCTTTGTTTTTGACTTTGGATCGCAAGCTTGTGATTCTGTAGGCCTCTGGGAATTATTTGTAACTACAGAATGCTTAGCGCAACCTCACCTGGCTATATGTTGATGTCTTTTGGTTGTCTTTTGTTTTTGTGTTTTGTTTTTAACGTGTCTTTGTATTTTTTTTATTTATGTTGATTCGAACTTTTTGGTTTATCGCACAACCGCCATGAACCATGAGGCTGTCGATATCCGGCCAGTCAATGTGAAGTGGACTGAGCGAGGGTTTCTCCTTCTCAACCTTGTGATTTCACTTTGCACCTCTGGAATGCAACACAAATCCATGCTGCGCATCAAGCGTTGTGAGAACTGTTTGACAGGCGTGGTTCTCATGGACCTGTTTCGGATCTTAGCAGACAAAGAAGCACGTCGGAGGGGCTTTTCCAAAGGCTCCCTGTGGTTGGCAGGCCAGACCCACACCAATGTGATGGCTGTAGCAAAGAGTTGCCTCGCTATTTGCTTGAGCCCTGGTGAGCTTGGTAACTTCTGGGCTCATGGCCATGGACGTCTCACCGAAGTGTGCATTGAAGAGTTCTTTGGCCGTTTGAGAACCCAATCAAGCAGCGCTCAAATGACTTGTCGTCAATACTGGCAGTATTCTACCCGGGAGATGGTCAGAGCGAGCAAAGTTGATGCGACGCAAAAGCGTCCAGGAGCCAGTGATCGCAACACCATCCAGCCTTTCACTGATGAGGAGTTCTTGGAGGCCAGCAAACGAGCTCTTTCTGCTGGTGTGAAGTTGGCAGCGTGGGCTGCAGGTGTGAATGAGCAGACATTGCTGGACATCTACAAGAACGATGACTCTACTGTTGCCGATGAACCCCTTCATGACTGGGAAAATGATGAGGCAGAAAAGCTGCAGGAAGCCCGCCTGAATGAGGACTCCAGCTTCCCAGACGTCATGAAGAATGTGCAGCAAGATCTCCAAGACATGGACCTTGCGGATGAGGAGGTTGAAGTCGGTGCCGATACTTTTGACCATGTACGAGCAGACTTGCGTGAGACTCCAGGCGCCGATGAACTTTTTGAAGTCTTCCAAGCCCAAGACGCTGCGTCTCCCTTCCGCCAGGAGACAAAAGCCAAAGCAGCCGTTGGTGGCGGCAGCCATTGGGATGAAACTTTGGCAGAGGTCTTCCAGACCTGTCAAGGCAGGTCAGAAGATCTGCTTTGGGACAGGCTTTGGAGACTTTGTATGTTCCTCCGTCATTGGCAAGGAGGCAGTGACCGTCACTGGATCAAAAATCCTTTTTCCTGTCGGAAAGCTGCGTCGGGCATGAGCTGGTATCAGTGTCTCGACACTACAGAATGGTAAACTTACAAAGGGTTTTACATATGCGCCTACAAAATCAATAACCAGGTTTTTAAAATGTTTCTGTCAGACTAGAATACTAATATATTATACTTCTATAGTTTTTTATGCCGGTTCTAGGGACAGGATGCTCATTTTGTAGAGACATGCAGAGAATGGTTGGGGCGGGGTACAGAGGCAACCACTATTTTTTAAAATACTTTTATGATTCTGTAGATTCATTTCAGATCTTGGATGCAGGTTTGTCATTCTGTAGGCTCAGCGTATCCAGTCTCTCAGGTTCAATGAGAGAAAGCTTGCGGAGTTGGCGAGGGAGGAGGGGTCTGCTGAATACAAGAAGCGAGCAAGTCGCATGGACAAGTGGCGACAGTTGGCCATTGAAGCTGCTCAAGACAGACACGATAAAGATTTCATTCCCGAGAAGATTGAGCGACCTGAATTGGATTTGAACGTTGGTTGATGTTTCTGTCTAGTTTTTTTAATGTATTTTTTTTGATGATTTTGGTTTGTGTATGAGTTGGTTTTAGAATGTTTGAGATCTAACTTGTTTTATGTTCCATATTGTCAGGAATGGCAACATCGTGGTTTTGGTGGTGCCCTCAAAGCGCGGCTCACGCAAATCAATCTTGGGTGTCGTGGTGTCACTCTGGAAGAACCAGAAGAAACCACAATTGTCGACCAGCGGCATTTCATTGACCCATACTGTGGCTGCTCGATGCCTTGAACTGGAGCAGGACTCGCTGGATACAGGTTTGTTGCGGTGCAATGCCAATTCAATCCCGTGGGTGGTCAAACCTCAGGCTATTGCTGCGGTTCTGGACGTTGAAGCTTGTGACAACATGGTTGATGGGCTTGTCGTTCGGCTTTCCAAGAATTCGCTCACCTACGTCGACACAATGCATGAGGTTCCGAAGTGGTGGCCCGTCGACAACGATGCAGAGATGGGAGAATCAGAATTGGGAAAAGCGGGTCTCTACGTACCACGTCGCAGGGGCAGAGCACGTGGAAAAGCACGAGCGAAAGCCAAAGCCAAGTGCAAGACAAAGGACACAGACAACCAGATTGTTGAGACAGAAGCTGGTGGCAAGAAAACCAGGAGGCTCATCTTGAAGCGGAGGAAAAGGGCATTGAAGAATCTCCCTACTTCTGTTGCCTTTGCGCCCATGAACATCAAGAAAAACAAGATCGGCAAAGCATTGATTCTCCAGACAATGCGGCAGTGTTGCACCTTAGACCAAGGGAAATTTACGAATCCAGCATTTTCGTCAGCCAGTGGAGAGTGCAAGATTCCCTTCCCTGAGTGCAAAGGTGTGCAGTGGGACGATGTCCTGCACGCCGCATTTGAATATTTGATGAGGGAGAAACTCAACTGGATTTTCATGAATGTTCATAAATTTTATCAACTGGATTTTCATTTAAACTTGTTTTTATAGTTTGAATTTCTTATATTTTCGTAGTCGTGAACGTTTGTGTGCCCGTGGAAGGTATGCGAACAACACCGGCAAGGGAACAGACTTCAAGACAGTCGTCTTTTCCCGTCTCAAGAGAATCCTGGACGAGCTGCAGGGCAAGACCGATGAGTCAACCTTGTCAAGAAAGAGTTGGTTGCATTTGGTGAGAGACATTTGCATGTATATGGGAAGCGTCAATCCGAAGGATTGATTGTGTGCAGATGTTGAATATTCTTGGATGATGTGAACCGAAGAAGACCATAGAAGACCGACAGACCCAAACTGGCGATGAAAACGGCTGTCTCTACAAAATGGCACTCTCTACAAAATGGGTTGTCATCTTTTTTATTTGCCTATATGCACCAGACCAAACTTGCAAAAGTGGTACCCTCTACAGAATGCCTCATGTGCAGTTGCTCCTTTTTTGGAACCACTTTTTCTCTCATCCTGTATCTATCCCCTTTCACAACCTTCTCATTTTGTAGAGAGTGTCCCTGTCCAAAATGCCCTTGTGCGTGGGCATTTTGTAGAGGCTGTGATTTTGACTTTGGATCGCAAGCTTGTGATTCTGTAGGCCTCTGGGAACCACTTTTTTGATTTGTAACTACAGAATGCTTAGCACAACCTCACCCCCCTAATATGCAGGGGGATGAATTTTCCAACTGGAGGAGGTGCCAGCCCCTTGGTATCGGACCATGGGACCTGAAGGAAGTTCGGCTGTGGTGAAGCTGGAGATCTTCCAGCACTCGCGAGTGACATCCCATGCGCACAGCTCCGTGGTACTCGCTGCGCTGTGGGAGGCAGCTCTGAAGAAGGCCCAAGAATCAAGAGACATCGATGCTCTGACGTTTGCTCTTCAACAGGCGGGCGAGCGAGGAGGAGTTTGGGTTGGGTTGCTTCTTTTCACGACCTTCCGTCGAGTCATCCATGCATGACTTGCATGACTCGGTCCGTCTCCAGGGCCGGTGTGCCATTGATGGAATGGAAGGAATGCCATGGATGCATTCAATTCGTCCAACTTGTTGATCTCCGGGGCTCAAGAGGTCCTTCCCAGTCGTGGATCATGCTGACTTGCATCTTTTTGTTCACTGGAAAGCCTGGAAGGCACGTGAAGCGGGCGTGGATGCCAGCATGATTTCCCAGGGCGAGGACATCTTGAAAGAGGAGGCCTGAACGGGGGGTTGGGGATGGGGTGGCATTGGTCATGGCACCACCCAGACAGCATGCTAGTTCCACCATCTGGGCCCTTAAGTTCGATCCCAGGCTCCAAAGCATGAAGCGCGGCAGCAGCTGGCCATACAGCTGGCCAAGGAGAGCTCCATCTGAATCGATGGGGCGTCGGAACCGAAGAATGCCCCCTTTGGATGGTCATAGATGCTCTGTTTCAGTGAACAACGTGGTTTTTTTTGGGAGCAATTCACGCAGGTCAGAGCTTTAGATGATTTTAGATGTAATCTTTGGCATCGCTTGCTTGATGTGTTGCTGTCGCCACCTCGCCATGTGTGTCACTTCCTTTGCCTCGTCCCGTCCGACCGATCGGTCCGGCCAGGTACGGAATGCCGGCGATGAGGGTCCTTCGTTGGAAGATCTCTCCTTGCGCAGACCTTAGAGAAGTCGTTTCTTTTTCTTTCTTCCGTGCGGTCAGTCTCTGAAGAGATTTGTGAGAACCTTGGGGGAACCACAACAAGCCTCCACCCTAGTAGCTTCTTGGTTACTAGCGATGACCTCCAAGCTACTTGCGATGGCCTCCACCTAAGAGCGTCCTTGCTACCTGTTCTTTTGAGAAACACAGGTTGCAAGAAGCCATTGACCAAGCGAAGAGCGTTCAGCTGCCAGAGCCGGAGCCGGGATGCTCGATCAGACGCTCTGCCGCGTCCTGCGACGATCCGTTTTCACAAAAGGTGTGGAAGTTTATCAACATGAATCAACGCATGTGTGCTTTTCCAATGTTCTGTTTTTATTTGAGGTTCACGAGCGTGGACTTCCGTCGTTTTTTGGGGCTCCTGAGGTCTTGTTTGACGTCTGAAGCTTGATGTTGAACCGGCTGGGCGTATTGAATCACAGGTATGCCCAAGCTCTCAGTATCCTGGCCCAAGAGCAGAAGCGAGCCACGTGCAAAGCGGAGGTGAGACGCGGCGGATGGGAAAAAAAGGGTCAACTGGCTTGGTGGGCACTTTTGATCATCACTTGTTGTGTAGTTTTATTAATGTTTATCCCTTTGTCTCAAAGGATTGACCTGTAATTGCAGGAACATTTTTGGACATGATTAACCTCATTGGTTTGTAGGCCTTGATTTGTTGGCCAGAA